ATTACATTTGTAGAGCATCTTTCATGTCAGGAGGACATCCCAAGCCGCTGGGTTGTAAATTGCAATTGATTGCTCTAAGGTACAAGGCACTCCGTCACTGAAGTTGCTGACATTCCAACGGTTAAGTTGCACAAATTGCTATTAGCTCAGCTTCTAATTGCTAAAGCCATCTGCCCAGCAACCGGAGGAGAGGGCGATTTTAAGGGAATATGCAACCAAGAAATCCATGTTTACAGCATCTGCCATCTACCATTAACTGACAGATTTTTTTTTTTTACCTTTTCAACAACAACAGCATGCATTTGCACAAGCAGACATCAGGAGAAAAATTTCTTCAACCCTTCCGAAACACAATCTTCCTGGGATATGTTTGGGTTATAGGTTCTATGGGGCAGAATTTGATAATTAGGACAAGTCGCACCTTAAGAATATCAACAAATTTTGTGCTACGTTGCACCAGATTATCTCCCAGTGTCCTACCCAACAATCCACCCAATTTAAAATCGGCCATTCATTTCATGGCTGTTTGAATGACATTCGTGTGCACAAATTGACTGCACGTTCATCTACAAAATACATAGTAACTACGCTTTACAGTGAAACCTATGCAGCGGTTCGAGATATCCTTCTGACGTGAAATGTGCTTGATTATTTTATTATGACGGAATATGTATTATGTATATGTATAATATGTATAAATATCTAGGTGAGAGTGGTAGATAGTAATTCACCATCAGAATTCTGCAGTACTTCGCTCTTGGAGGTAATGATACCATCAGAACTGCTTGACTGAACAGCAGCCTCACGAGTGGTGCCAACTTTCTATTATCCTACACGCACCTCAGAGCTGAGAAATGACTGGAGTAAAGATCGAGGAATGTACATTTAAAAAATTGGATCTGCCTGTATTTAGCTGAATCAAAGGCAAAGCAAGCATCAAGTTCTCCTGATGAGATCAACACTTCGATGCTGTGACTGTTCGTTTCCCCCCACCACCAACACCATGGAGGCTAGAAAAACAGTCATAAAGAACAGAAACACTTGAAATCCACAGCAGATCATTCAGCATCTGAGAGCAAAAACTAAATTACAATAATAACCTCTGCATTCAATGCAGAGCCTACATATAATGTCAAAATGTCTTAAAGCCCTTTATAATAATTACTGTTAACTACAGTGACTATTTATTTGTAGGTAAATGTGGCAGCCAATTTCCTCACAGCAATGTCCCACAAATGGCCTGGAGGTAAATGACCAATTTATTTTGGAGGACTGTCTTCTAGGACTCTGGGAGAAACTTAATTCTCTTTTCAAAATGTATTGTGGCATCTTTAACCTGCACAGGCAGACAAAACCTCGGTTTTACATTGTATCCGAAGGACACCTCCTCTGACAATGCAGCACTCCCCAACAATGCGCTCGAGTCTTAGTCTAGACTGTGAGATTAATAATTATAATACTTGCATTTGATATATCACCTTATCATGTCTTTGAGATGTCTCAAAGCGCTTCACAGAATGTACTGTGAAGTGAATTGACATGTTTTCACCTTTAATAACCTCAGAGCAACTATCTTTAAATTGGATTTTAATCTGAAAATGACACTCCTAATAAAAGAAGATGGGTTTTCAAATGCTAAGCCTAGGGTTGCTCTGTGACTCTGCTGATGGCTGTCTAGATACATCATGTAGCTTGTGCACTAAAAAAAAGGATGAGAGGTTTCTTATACGAGGAGTCTCTGAAACACCAACATTGAGAACCAAACAAGAATATTCTCACTTAGGATCTCTGTGTCCTAACAGATAACATGATAGCCAGAAATTGAATACGTTTATAGAAACACAGAATTTTACAACATAGAAGGAGGCCATTCACTCCCACTGTGTCTATGTCTGTTCTTGGTGAGAGTAATTCATTAAATTCTATTTCCTAGCCTTTCCTTTTCCCCATACCCTTTTATATTTAAAATAATTTCCTTTATTAAAAAAAACTACTATGGGTTCTACAATCAACTACCGTTTATGCTGTGGGTGGGAAAACAATATGTGCTATCTCCTCAAAATTCTGCACCACTGCTCGCTCTGCTTCTTAAGTAACAAAGAAAAATATATTTTAAAATGTGATTGGGGATATTTTCAACGATACAGGGGTTCAGCGGGATTATGTGCAAATAGTCATAATAAATCTTTGCATTTGTTATAGAGTCTTTTCATGTCTTCGAGATGTCTCAAAGTGCTTCGCAGAATTGACTGTAAAGTGAATTGAATGTAGATTTTGTGAGAGAAACACGGCGGCCAATTGCGCACAGCAGGGTCCCAAAAACAGTCTCTCTCGCTCTCTTTGCTTTCAAAACCTGTCTAAACACCTATCTCTATAAGCATCCCTTCAGCCACCTTCTCCCTATCTCCCTCCCAGGTTTGGCTTTCACTCAGATTTCGAAAAGCAGTTGAGATGTTCTCCATTCTCCTACGTTAAAGGTGCTGTATCAATGCAAATTGTTGATGTATATTATGCCTATTCGAAGCAGCAGACTTCTTCAAACAGAGAAAACTGCAGGGGTTTAAAATCCAACCAGCATCCAGTGTGGACTTCACTGTGACTAGTAAAGTACCCATAAAGGTGTCTCTGATCCACAAAACATGTCCCCTAAGGTGGCAGAATTACAGTTTTAAAGACAACTCATGAATTTTTCTAATCTTTATGCATCGTTAAAAGAGCCACAATGTGATAGCAAGCGCAAAGCGTGGCTCTGATGTACAACAACAACAATAAAATTACATTTATAGAGTGCCTTTCACGTTGGGAGGACGTCCCAAAGCGCTGAACAATCAGATGTTGGGGCCCGAGCATGGGGGAGGGGTGGGGTAGGGGTGAGGGAAGGCAGAGAGGTGGGAGGGAGACCAAAGGCACGGTCGAAGAGAAGGGTCTTGAGACCGGCCTTGAAGGATGCAAGGGAGGAAGCGAGGCAAAGGGACCGTGGGATGGAGTTCCTGGTGCGTGAGAGTACACAAGCTGCAGAGTTTTTGATGATCTGCAGCTTGTGAAGAATCAAGAGTTTAATGAAAACTCAGCTCTCATCCCCCCCACCAAAAAAAATTGTGCTTTTGAAACTGCCTATAGTGCCAAAATGTCTCAAAACACTTCACAGGGAACTGCTGTCAAGTGTAATGACTGTGTATGCAAAGACAGAAACTGGTATAGCTCAGGATTGGGACTCAATTTCACCATATTTTCCTCCACTTAGCATTTGAACTCACGCCAGCTATAGCCAGTACCTGGAAACTTCCAGGAGAGCAGCCTTAGTCTAGATACACAAACCTAGGACAACATTTATTAATTTGCGTCAGTCCAAGAAGCTCTGTAATTCTGAACAAAATACAGACCCTATTTTGAATGACCGTCTTAAAATGCACTTTAATGTGACCTTTTGTTTCTTACTGAGTCAGTAAGACTGAACTTTGTAATTCTCTGTGTAGGAGAGAAACATGCTCGGACTGATCTGTTCACCCAGCACCTTGTCAGACACCTTTTAATTTTAACAGAAAGAGCGATCAACAAAACAGAGACGAGAAAGTCTTTGAATGCAACAGAACTGAAAGCACAAATTGATTATTCAGGAGCCTGACTGCTTAACGCAATGAGTTTCTCAAGAGTCGAAACACCACTGGGCATTTCTTGGGAGTGCACAGGAATATTTGCCATTCTCAAAGAGAACAGACAAGGTGAAAAGAACCTGCGATGCTTTGTCTTGTGAACAAAACAGGTCTAAAGAGCCCTCCACCTCCAGAAGCTAAGGACTCAGTTAGTCTATCCGATCTTGGTGAGGCGAATTCTCGGTCTTATTGTCCACTGCCCTATTCACACAAAGGAAGTGAAATGTGTGGAGGATGCTGCCATTTGGTTATTTTTTTAACAAACAAAAATAAATTCTTGCAAGAGCCTCCACGTTATCCCACTCCACCTCCTCTGTGTTCAGCCTTTTCTGTTACCCAGCTGTGTGACACAGGATGATTGTATGTGTAAAACATGCTTGGACCGACATATTCACAGGGCTTTGCTCATGTACATGCACATGCCCTGTACCTAGATACGCGTACACATATTCACAATCCAACTCGAACCCAAGAGTGCGCACATTGAATGGGTACCATGTTACTCCGCACGTATGTGTTTTTCTCCTTATGAAAGGATCCTTTGAGACAACGAAGATATCCAACATCCTGCAGGCAAGGCTCGAAACAAGTCACACGGGGTTTGATGTGATTCCAAAGCGATTTCTCACCCCAAAAATGGGTGCAATCACCCCTGTAAAGATTTATCTGTGATGGCACTTTGCTTTGGGGATGGGGGGGGGGGGGGGGGGGGGATGAGTTCCCATATCTCGCTGATAAGCAAGATTACCTCCTTGAAATATGTTGTAAGGCACACACTTTTATTTATATTTATGTATGCACACACACACACACACACACATACACACTCACTCGCAATACCTGAAAGCCAAGTATCTTCAGGGAAGTAGGTAAACTTGGGATATTGGTACCTAACGTTGGAGCATCGCTGGGGGGACACTGACAGGACTCAGTTTCCCACACACTGCGAATACATTTAATTCTGGGATTTAAATTTGCGCGCTGGGATGTGACTTCACATCCAGTAATTATTATCTTTTTTTGGGGGGGGAAAACAAATCACTGGCGCAAGTACAAGTGCAAGTACAAGTACAAGTACAAGTAGGGAAGGGGTGTACTTCGTTATTTCGTAACACGGACAGGATGCTCATACATGAACTTTCTCCCCCCTCCACCACCACTCTCTCTCTCTCTCTCTCTGAGCAACTGAGCAGTTAAAGCCCACTCACCGAGAGAGAGAGAGAGAGAGAGCGAGGGCTGGGGGGTGGGGGAGAGCAGCGAATATAATACATGACAACCATTTAAAGACCCCCCTTTCCCTCCCCTCCCCCTACCGTGAGTGCGGTGTGCGAGGCTGGCAAAGGATATGGGTTACAGACCAGCTTAAGGCACCAGCTTCTGGGTCGCGTCGTCTGCTTCATGTAGAAAAACACCACGGGGGCGAGTGCGGGGTAGGACAGGTGCTCCTGCTCAGCCCTCCTCTGCTGTGGGTCACCCTCCGGGGTCTCCCCGCACCCCGAGCCGGGCTCCCGACCCTCAGAGCCGGGCTCCTCTGCCTCCGCCGCCTTGCCTTCTCGGTCCAAGTCGTTGAGCTTGATGAAGGTGCTGGGCAGGGAGGACCTGCCCTCGCCTCCACCTGTCTGCATGTGATCTCCAGGCGCATCTTCTTCAGCCATGGTCGCTTTGCCACCAACGTTACGGTTCCTCCTCTCTTCCCCCTTTTCTTGGCTTTGGATTAAACCGATTTGTTTTTGCCTTTTTTTTATATATATATATATATGTGTGTGTGTGTGTGTGTGTATATATAAAATAGGAATCCCGCAAAGAAACGAGCTGACCACAGCTTCTCTCTATCTCAAGTTTTTTTGTTTTCCTTTCCTAAAGGCAGCAACAGCAACGAAGCGTCCAATTGCCCCCTTTAGGAGTCAATTGGGAACCATTGCCAGGCATTGTCAGAAGTCAAGGAATCCTTCTCCTCCTCCTCCTCCTTCTCCTCCTCCTCCTTCTCCTGCTCGTTCTTCTTCTTCTTCTTCTTTGGGGGGAGAAAATGCTCTTGCTTTTTTTGTGATAATAATTACCAAAAAAAAAAATGCAATTTCTCCACACCGATCAAAGTAAAATTCAGGGGTGAATTCACCACTTTCTTCCAATTCATCCAAGATCTTCTGTCGGATCCATTTTTTTCTTTGGGTGGGTGGGTGGGTGGGTGGGGGGTTAAAGTCACAACAAACAGTGTGAAATCCCAACAAGAAACGATGCCCCGTGGTGGTGGTGTTGTTTTTTTTTGTTTGAGTCTCTCTCTCTCTCTCGAAAAAGGAAAGGAAAAAAATATATTGCTGTTACTTGAGATTTTGTGGCTTTTGCAATTCCACCTTTTCCCTCTGTCTCTGTGTCTCTGTGTGTGTCTCTCTCTCTCTCTCTCTCTCCCTCGTGTCCTACAGGGATGAAGTAGTTGTCTGCAATTGGTGGGTAATCATCGATTTATCCAGCTTGCAAAGCAGGGACGATCATGTCTTTTATTTGCCCCCACTTTCTCTCTCTCTTTCTCTTCCTCTCACTCACTCACTCACTCACTCCGAAAAAGAAAATACTGTAATGCAAACAGGGATACGGAGAGCGAAATTGGATGCATGTAAATCCTCTCTCCTCCCTCCTCCTCCTCCTTCTTCTTCTTCTTCTCTCGCCTGTTGTCTTCAGAGGAAGGAGTATCCCCCAAGCACGGGGAGGGGAATCTTTTCCCTGGTTTTATTCAGAGGCAGCAATGACGATTGGTGTCGTTTCTTGTGGAGACAGACACAGAACCCCACGCGCATGGTTCCTGGTGTCCATCCAAGGCGAGAAGGCTGATGGAGATTAAACCAGGTGCATCCTGGAGAGAAGCGAGTGTGTGAGGTGGGGGGGAGGGAGAAGGGAAGGGAGGAGGTTGGTTGACTGGTTGTTGGTTTGGTTGGTTTGTTGGCTGTTGGGTTGGTTGGTTGCGCTGTTGGGTTGGTTGGTTGGTTGGTTGCGCTGTTGGGTTGGTTGGTTGGTTGGTTGGGTTGGGTTGGTTGGTTGGCTGTTGGGTTGGTTGGTTGGCTGTTGGGTTGGTTGGTTGGTTGGCTGTTGGGTCGGTTGGTTGGTTGCGCTGTTGGGTTGGTTGGTTGGTTGGCTGTTGGGTTGGTTGGCTGTTGGGTTGGTTGGTTGGTTGGCTGTTGGGTCGGTTGGTTGGTTGGCTGTTGGGTTGGTTGGTTGGCTGTTGGGTTGGTTGGTTGGCTGTTGGTGAATTGGGGGGGGGGGTGTTGAAGAAGAGAAGAAAAAATAGAATTCCCACTCTCCCAAACGATCTTTTATTATTGAGGCAAAAACAACCGGTGCAGGTCCTCTCTGCTCCTCCAACAGAATAATCCTTCCAGCTTCTTATCCTTTTTTTTTCTTTTCTTTTTTCTGTGTGTGTGTGTGTGTGCGTTGGGTGGTGGGGTGGGGGTGTCGTTGGTGTTGGTGAGTGTGTGAGAGAGGAGAGGAGAGGAGAGGAGGAGAGAGAGGAAACAAAATTGGGGAGCAGTTGAAGGGATGGATGCTGATGGGGAGTTGTTGATTGCAGTCCTGTTGCTCTCTCTCTCTCTCTCTCTCCCTCTCTCTCAATCTTCTTTCTTTCTTTCTTCTTTTCTTTTCCCTCCCTCCCTCCCTCCCTCCCTCTCTGGTGGTGCAAGTGGCTGTTCTCTCTGAGCTGGAGCTGGAGCTGACGGACTCTCTGCCCACACAGGGGAACCTGCAGCACCTCACAGCTGGAATCCCCAGCCCAACTTCAGGCAGGCGAGCCGCGAGTCCCGCCTCCCCCCACCCCCCAGCGCCGCTTATTGACTGTCCCCGGCGGCCCCGGCCCATCGCCTTACTCCTGTTGGCCAGCGCGCGCGTCAATCATCGGGGGCGCCCTTCGCCCCGCCCAGTGGCGTCAACAGCTGGACTCGGGCTCCAGCTCGCGCGCACGCCCTCCCGCGAGCTCGTCATTGGTCAATCTCAGCCCCACCCTCCACCCCACCACCACCAACCGCCACTTCGGCCCCGCCCACTCCACCTCCCCTGCCACCATTGGCTGGAAGCCTTCGAGGGGGCGGGGGGGGGGGGGAGAGGATTCAAGCGACCAATCGGACGCTCCATTGGCCACCTCGCCCACTGCCATTGGTTCCTTTGCTCCACGTCCTGACCAATCGACGGCGCGAGGGGGCGGGCGGGGAAGCGGGGAGGGTGGAGCCTGCGCGCCACCGGAGACGCTGATTGGTTGTCTCCGCTGTCCCATCACAGCTCGCTCGGCTCCAGCGGCGGTGGGCTCCTCCCCGCCTCGCCCCGCCCCGCGCGGCTCAGGCAACGTGGGCGGGTTGGGCTGGGTTGGGCGGATTCCCGCCCAATTGGGCTGGTTCGCGTTGTACTGCGTGACCAATGGCTTTTGGGTGGGTGGGTGGGTGGCTTCTTCAGGGGATACACCGTGGAGTGGAGTGCTTTGGGGGCGAAACGACAAGGCTGAGGCTGTCGCCAGGTTCAGTCGGTCCGCGCCCTCTCGGCTCCGAGTCAGTTGCGGGTTGGAGCCCCCACGTCGTCGCCGTCGTAATAATAATCATAATAATAGTCCTTGCGCTCGACGCGGCGCCTTATCGACTCTCTCCCCCCTCCTCGCTCCCTCCCTTCCCTCCCCTCACCCTGACCATTTCCCCCCAATGCTCGGGTCCTGACCCAACTGTGCAGCGCCTCGGGACGTCCTCCCGACGTGAAAGGCGCTTTACAAATGGAATCTTGTTGTTGTTGTTGTTGTTGTTATCGCGTCTCCGGGACGTCTCCAGGCGCTCCGCGGGACACGCCGTAAAGTGAATCGACTTCCGGGTTTGGTGGGCGAAACGCGGCGGCCGATGGCGCGCCGCAGCGTCCCCCGCAAACAAGTCGTGGATCGAAGTGACCACATTTTTTCTTCTCTCTCTCTCTCTCACTCTCTCTCTCTCACTCTCTCCTCATCGGCCGTGCCGTGCGGAGTAAGGAAACCCGCCCAAGGTTTCGCCCTGCCGGGAATCGAACCCGGGAAGGGGACACAGGGGGCTCCGGGCTCACGGTCCAGGCCGGTGGGCGATTTTATGGGGATGCGGCCGCGCGCACGTCGCTGCCGTGTTCTCCCGCAAAAATACATCGCTTTACAGTGCACGCATCAAAACGCTTTACGATATCTCTGAAACGTGATAAAGCACTATACCAATGGCAGGGTTTATTATTATTATTATTATTATTATAACATCCACCTGTCCGGGTCCAGTTGGGTTGAACGTCTCATTTGAAGGACCTCTGACAACATGGCGCTCTTCCACCAACTCTGCCCTGGGGTGTCAGCCTGAACCTTGAACTCAGTCGTGTGTGGGCTGTAAATATAATAATAATAATAATAATAATCCTTGCATTTGATATAGCGCTTTTCACGCCTCGAAGACGTCTTAAAGCGCTTCACAGATTATACCGTGAGGTGAAGTGACTGTATATTTGTGTCGAATATTCTTCGCATCGACTCGCGTTCCCCAAGTCGATGGCCATCAGCCGTTGCAACGCTGACACTTGCCAGAAGGGGGAGGAAATCACAGGCGAGCACTCTGCTCAGATGAACCCACTTCCAGCCCAGATTACTAGATAGCGATCAGGAACTAATAATAATAATAATAATAATAATAATAATAATCCTTGCATTTGATATAGCGCCTTTCACGTCTTCTCGACGTCCCAAAGCGCTTCGCAGAACACACTGTAAAGTGAATTGACTGTATATTTGTGGGCGAACGCGGCAGCCAATTGCGCACAGCAATGTCCCCACAAACAGCCGTGGATTGAAAATGACCAATTTATTATTGTTTTTGGTTTTGGAGGGATTATTATTAGGCTCTGTGTGGAGTAAGGAAACTTGCCCAAGGTTTCGCCCTCTGCCTGGAATTGAACTCAGGTCTCTCACTTGCAAAGCGAGTGCTCTAACCACTGAGCTACAGGACTCCACGATAATTGGACTAGAGCGATAATTGGTTTCTTTCTCTTCCTCCCCCAGAAAAAAAACAGGTGCCGAACTCAACAGTAGTATCTTCCAGCTGGGGCCAGGGAAGAAGCGATTCTGATTCATGTGTTACTTGGTGATGCATTGGGTAGTGCCTTAACTCACTCAGTGGGGCATCAGAAGGGAAATTAAGACGTATTGCACAGTCATTTCACTGAGAACATTGCAGTCAGAGGAACATGTGAGCTGGGTCCTGGGGTGAAAAGATGGTTCGGCTAATTCGCTGCAATCTCCAACCCCCCCCACCGTCCCCAATTTTAATTTCCCTTTCCGAACTGTTCTTAAAAAGGAAGTGCAATATTAATAATAATTTTTAAAATTAAGCCCATGAGTCATATGCTTAATGGCTCTTCGCTTCTGGCCATCACCTCTCTCAGTAAAAACCACCGTGGTTTATAAAACGTACAATTAGTTCACTTTAAAATATATTCTGTAAAGCACTTTGAGACGTCTCTAAGACGTGATAAGGAGCTATATCAAATATGAGGATTGTTATTATTATTATGTTTAGTTTACAGTTAAATTGAAGGTAAATAGCCAAAATTTTCTGGTAGGAAACAAAAATGATATAAATTCTGGAAATCCAGGAAAAGGCAGACTCACCTTGGATTTCTGCTTTTAATAATAATAATAATAACAATAATAATCCTTGCATTCGATGTAGCGCCATATTGTGTGGTTGAAACATCTCAAAGCGCTTCATAGGATATACGTTTCCTCTTTATTTAAAAATTTCCAGGCATCTGCATTTATATTTAGAGCACCGTTGGTTGCTGCGTTGCTACTTTCAAGGTCTTTAATGACGCAGTAATCTTAGGAAGTTACCACTGACGTGAATTAGATGAGATTTCCCTGCTGGAGACCCACCAAAAGACACGGTTTTCACAAGCACCACTGGAGGCAGTGGTGGCCACAGTGACACCATAAACACTGCCATTGGAACAACAACAACAAATTACAGCTATATTACAAATTATAGCGCCCTTCACGTCAGAAAGACGTCCCAGGGCACTGGAGGCTGCAATGAGCATCTTTACGGACCACTGATAAACACTATATTGAACAGCACCAGGGATGGCATCTCAAAGCACAGCACAGTATTTTTACTGTAAAA